GTCTTCAACGGTGATTTAGTTTTTTAGTTTTTCATTAATTTCTTGTAATTTTGTTGTGCCGAAATTGAATAAATCAAATCAAATAAAAAAATCTACATTAATAATAATGAAGACAATCCGGTTTTAAAAATGATGGAACACAATGAATCATAATAACATTTTGATTATTTAATGACTTTGTACCAGAAATAATTATCAATAAAGAATTAAGCATTATAGTGGAGTATTTATATTTATATTCCAATGAATCACCATATTACTTCGTTTTTGGTTGTCAATTGCATTATTTTGTCAGTTTTATCTACGATTGCATTGTGCGCGTTGATTCTGTTTTCATGCTCAGCGTAGGCCTATTTGGCGAGATATTGATGCGCGTAACACCTGTCCGTTCTTCCATGCTGTCCACAAGAAAATTAATTTCTTCCGTTTTTAAAAGATGAAATTTATTATGTGCTATACAAGTCCTCAAACATTACCATAATATATTACATGTTGTACTAATGAAATGTTGGAAAGGAAAGGGGGTTTGAAAACAGAGCCTTTGAAGAGAACGTACAAGCATTTCACGATCATCGTTAGAATCTGATTAAGCCTATGGCAGTATGTTTGACCTTGAAACTGACGGTGGACTCTCAAATAAGCAAGGGCGCTCGCTGTCCATTTGTCCAGCGCCCATCTATTACGGTACTTAATACGCGTGCATCCATTTATAAAGCGCGACTATATTTTATATTAGACGTAAGTGATTACATCATGGTCAGCAAATCACTCGACCTTATACTAACAACATGTTATCGATTTTTAACATTAAAAGCAAAAGGTGTCCTTGGTGGTAACGGCGTAACGCATGTTCGAACACAAAATCCTTTTTGTAAGACTAATTCGACAAGCAGTACCTTGTATCTCATTAATATTGATTCTAAAATAAGAATAAACTTAGAATTGGTATTTCTGCTCATATGGTTCTTGGTCTCAATCTTTTGACCTATTTTTATGTAAATGAAGGGGATCACAACATAACGCCTTAAATCTAAGCTTTTGTTGATACTTTGTATTGATTTCCAGGTCCTTGTTTTTTCTCCATTTGTTTTATTTCTTTGAAGTTATATTGACATCGGTTACGCTATGCCTTCATCTATATTTCATTAGGCTTGTTAACAATAGGCCTATATAAGAAAGAAATAACGACCCGCTCCGATAACACCCAGCTCCTGCACCATCATCATATAATCGTCATCATTAGGTAAGATTTCCAAATACATTATCTAAGCCACCGTATTATCTTTAATTTCGAAGCGTCACCATAGGAAAGAAGTAAGTTAAACTTCAAGGGTGATCACTTTGCCTTATACCTCAGTTGGTAGATTATCAGAACGGTAATCAAAATGTCTTGGGTTCGCGATTCTAGCAACGATTTCATATCAATAAAGGCATAGGCCTATATTAATAATAATAATAATAATAATAATATGTTATATTTATATAGCGCTTAATGCCAACAAGGCCTCTAAGCGCTTCACATTACTACCCCCGGTCATTGGATTAGACGCCTATGGAGCACAAACTGTTCCATAAAGTTGCAACAGCTAGCATTTTGGCATGTAACCCTACCAGGTACCCATTTATAC